GGCGGGGCCCGCTAGGCCGCCCGCCGCGAGTGCACTCACCAGCGTGCCGCCGCGCAGGAGCCGCACCGCCGCCGTCTCCATCGCTGCCGTTGGCTCTGGGTGAGCGCGTCGCGCGAAGTGGCCGCTCTGCGAGCCAGGCAGGGCCCGCAGCCAGAGACGAAAGCCAAAGCCTGGGGCGGGCACGGGCGGGCCCCGCCCACAAGCACCCACCCCCAACACACCCCCCTGGGCCCCGCCCCCCCGGGTCTACGGAACCGCAGGAGAGACAAACCACCCCCGCTCGGCTTTCGCCCCACTCCCTGCTCACGCGAGACTTGGGCCAGGCAGTGGGGCGGGAAGGGAGCTGGAGACACAACAAACATGGCGGCGGCGGCTGCAGCGTTGACGAAGACGACGACGGCGGCGGCGGCGGCGGCGGCGGCAGCGGCGTTGAACAAGGCGGTGGGGGCTCCTCGGTGCGGCTGTCAGGTGGTGAGTAGCCGGCTACTGCTCGGACGGTGGCGCCACGGCTGAGCGGAGAGGCTGAGAAGGAGCGGCGGGAGGCGAGAGCCGGGTTCTCCGCGGGCCGGCAGACCCCGCCCGGGACTCAGTTGTGGTGGAGGGTCGGGCGTGGCCGGTCGGCCGGCGGTGTCGCACCCGGGACGCTCCCGACCCGCGCGGAGGTGGCGGGGTCCGCGGCGGCGGCGCTGAGGCGGGGGCTCGGGGGAGGGCGCTGCCTCCCGCTCTGACAGGTGGTCGTGCGGGGGCTTCCCGGGCGGCCGTCTCTCAGGCCGGGGTCCGGGGCCAGCCGCGGCGCTGTGCTCCGGGTGGTCGAACCTTGGGGAGGTCGTCGCGCCGACGCCTGTCCCGGGCTGCCGGTTGGAGAAGGTCCCTTTTCTGGTGGACCTGCCCGCTCCATTTCGACAGCCGAGCAGTCAGGTTTGGAGCAGTCGGGTGCTGGGGAGGACTTCGCAGTGAAGAACTATTTCGGTTGACGCAAGCTTATGGGCTTTATTTAATAACGTGTCTGGGCTGCGAGGAGCCAGGGCTTGCACTCTGCAGAGTGCCCGGGAATTGTGCAAATCGGAGTGGAAGTTAAACCGGCCACCGCCGCCTCCGACCACTTGGCCCATTTCAGGTCCCGCTGAACGAGCTGTTCAGAACCGGAAAGGGGAGAGTCCAGCGGGAGAAGAAATAAAGGCGCTTTAAATGGTGAAATTAAGGAGATTCAGTGTAGAAGAAAGCAGATGTCTTTAAAACAACTTTTCCGACTTCTAGACTGAGACTTTCAAAATTGCACGTAACGTCGATGTTTGTCATGCTTTCAGGAGGGCTAGAGATGGATGGATTCCTGAGAATTCGTTACAGCGGGTTGAGATGTTTGGTGGTTTTGCCCCTCGAGGTCCAAAGTATTTCCCAGAAAGCCTAGGGTGTCTGGACCATAATGCAGATGGGACTCCGAGGTGCCCCTGTTGGATGTGCCAGTTGGGTCTTATTTTTTAACCCTTTCCCGTATGTGTTTACCAATAGGGATAAGTTGGACCCTTTTAGAAATGTATTGGGACCATAAGAAATGACTCAGTTGAAAAAAGACATTAGACATTTTGCCAAAAATGAATTTTAAACATCCACCATTGAAAAAAGCATGATCGTCACAGTAGGCTGTGTTCTCTGGTGACTCTTCTGTGTTTTTACCTGTTGCTTTGTTCTTTGGTGATCTGTTTGCTTGGTTTTCCTTTTGCTCATTAAACTTCTGGCCACTATTATGTGTTTGTGATATAGGTTTTGATTTGTGGTGTGCTTTTCTTTGCAGACCTCTGTATGGCTTTTCAGTCTTAGTTGAAATTCCCTCCATGGCCTTCTGGAGTCCCTGGGTGTGTCTCCAGAGTAAATTTCGGTAACTCTACATTTCACCAATGTTGGAGTGGCAAGAAAAAGAAGGAACTGATTTGGGGTGAAAAGGTTAGCTTGTATAATTCTTCTTTTAGATATCTTCCATTATGTGTGTGTTTATGCTTTCTGATATGTCAAAACCTCATAATTTCTCTTGCTTCAGAGAATTTGTCTTTTGCTAGTTCTGATTCTCTTTGAAGGATCATGTTTTTGTCCTTATAAAGCAAGCCTCAGTTGTCAGACTTCTCCACGTATACATACTTTACAGCAGAGTAAATATTTAAATATTTAATTCACTTTACATGCCATCTGCCTAACCTCCCAGTTGAGCCACTAAAACTAAGTGAGTGTAATTACTCTCGATAGGGAGGGCTTCCAGTTCTAAGTGCCCTGGTTGTACACAGAAGTGATGGTAGTAGAAGGCAGTGCAGGGTTCAGTCTCTTCTCTAATAAGTACATTGTGTGGATGCAAGTATTGGGTGTTCACTGTTATATTTTCTTTCTCTGGTTTCTTGGCCATCAGTGAAATGTAAAGACTGGCTGGCTTTACCTTTGGACAGCAGATTCTTGCACACAGGTTGGAGCCTGTAAAAGATGACTGCTCTCTTGTGTGTGTGGGGGGGGGGGCTGTGGTGAGGGGCGGGGTTCTCAGGGGCAGAGGGTCTAGAAAATTGCAGTATGTTCACAATGTGTAATGACATCCCATGGAATACATACCAGCTGGAGCTTGACTTTAATCCGAGTGATCACAAGAGGACTCTTAAAGTTTGGGAATGATCCTTTGTGTTTGACATAATTAGATATCATTTTGCAGGAAAAGTACGTCAGACTTGGAATAACTACCCATATGTACAATAAACCTAGAAAGTTCTTCTGCTGTTTCTTCTCAGAAACACTGGCTTGAGTTGGGGTAAGCTGAGTTTTGAACCAACTGCTCATTTGGGCATCTTTCACACTGTCTGAGCCATCAAGTAGATGTCAGTACCTGAGAAACGCGGGGGACAGACAGAGACTGTGTGTGTGAAGGGGGCTAAAAAGCACTCTGTAAGGCAGTGGGTAGAGGGTGCTGAGGGGACTGATACTGGGTCATTGCAGAATGTCTGTGGTTTTGAACCATGTCAGTGTGTTTAAAATGTTTTCTTTCATGTTTACAATGCTACCCTCCCTGTTTTCATTGGCGTCCTTTGTTTTTGTTTTTAGTCAGTCATACATAGTGGTTGGGAAAAAAACAAACCCCACATTTTATGCAAGGAACACAGTGGCCTTTATAATGTGATAGTGTGAGAATACTCAGGACTGTCAAAAGCCAGTCATCCTCTGCAGTTAAGCTCGCTTGGGTGTTAAAACTTGAGGTGCAGGTATAAAAATACTGCTCTGCTCGCTTCCTGGCAGGCCTGCGCCTTTTTCTGTTTTGTCACATTATGCCACGTTTTGCTTTTGAGGTAGGATTTGGTCGATTTATTTTGCTTATTGAAACCTATCAAAGTATATTCAGGTATTTGTAGTGGAAACTTCAGTTTTAATGTGAGCTGATAGGCAGAAAGTGATACAAAGTTACCATGTAAATAGTGGGATTTCTTTCTTAAATTTTTAAAAGATTTTAAAGATTTTTATGCATACAAGAGCTGGGGTGTAGGCCAGAGGTAAGGGGGGGTTTGAGAGGATTCACCAGAGAGAGTGGGCAGCAGTACAGGCAGACTGAAATCTACTGCTGAGGGGAGCAGCGGGTGAGACAGGAGAGGTCTGCTGTGCCCTGGGCGTCCCTCCCTGGCCAGGTGAAAGAGAGAGAAATGATGTGGGACCCCAGTAGCACGCTGAGAGCCGGTAGAAAACCAAGGAAACCCACACCCTTGTGTTATACAACTGTTACATGTCCGGTTACACACCAAATCTGCCTGCTTAGCCCCCCCCTCGGTTCCCAGCATCCTCTCGTCTATGATGATGGCATTATGGGGTTTATAGTCTTTGGTGTCTTGGATCTCTTTGGTCTGGGCTGGGGAGTGGGGTCCATAAAACCTGTTTGTGGAGTTCAGGACATCTCCCCCCAACAATTACCCCCTTTCACTTTTTGCCACCGTTACTATGCCAATGAAGATCAAATATGTGGTGCTGGGGTGCAGCCTCAGATGACAGCTTTGCAGGGTCTCTCTCTCCCTGAGTCACTCATTTCTTCATCTCCCCCTTTGTAAATAAACCTGTGTACTCTGTGTGTGTTCCTGCGGTTGAGTCTCAACCTGCTTTGGCTGAGTCTGATGTCCTCTTCCTTAGGCCCCCCCATTCCACAGTGGGGCTGCCCTGGAACAGTGTAAAGTGATGTTAATCGCACCTGCCCCCACACCCAGCTCTGGGCATTGTGTGAACCGGCTTTCTGATCTTGTGTCTCCTCCTTCCCAGTTTTTCCATCCTTATCCTCCATCAGAAGAAACCAAAACAAACTTGTTCAGAGACCCAAAACAATCCTTAAGGTCAAGGATTGATCCAGGAAAGTTGGATCAGTCTAAAGTAAGTGATTTAAGGAGAGGCTAAAAGAGTAATGAGAGAGGAGTGTGGGGAACTGCACGTTGGGACTGTGCGAGTTAATGAGACCAGTGAACCAGCACATTATTAGGATGGCACAGATGTGCAAAGTGAGACGCTCAGCTAACTACTAGAAAAGGCAAAACATCTTTGAATCTGAAGTAGTGAGGAATTTCTTAATCTAACATTTAGCCATTTTTGCTGCAAGAAGAGCTGCTGTTGTCTAAGCACATACTACATGCTGCATGCGTTGTGAGGTGCTTTAGGAATACTTACCTGAAGCTTAAAAGGACCCGCGGGTTGGAGACCCCTTTATGAAGAAACAGGAGACGAAGGCTGAGTGATCAGTGTTCAGTGTTAAGGCTGTGCAGTTGCCTGCGAACATAATGTTCTGTTCCTCTAGGGTATGGGTTTTCAGTAGCTTCCATTTTCTAGAAAACAATGAAAAGAGGTAGTCATGATTTTGATGAAAATCCTAACCAGCTTCTAAGGGAGGAAAGGGCCTATTCACAAATGCTGTGTTAACAAGTGGGAATCTGGTAGGTGTGTTCAGCATGAAGAACAAATGCGAAAGGAGGCGAGAGGAAGAGACACAGAAATGTGCTTTCTGGGGCCAGCAAACGGGGGGAACCACAGCAGCCCGAGTTTTCTTCATTTCTAAGGCAAGCACGGCACTGTTGGCAGTAAATAATCTATAGTAGTCATGGTGAGTTTATTTCTAGTAGTGTTCTAGTAAGCCAACTGAAAGAGAGGTTTTGGTTCTCAAAATGTTGGTTCAGCTTTTGTTACTTAGAAAACACGTGCTATGGGCCCTGTCGTTTCTTAGCCTCGCAGTTCGGCGAGTGATCGAGGTTGGCGGTAAAGGACCAGAGTTGTCCGAACATTCTTGAGGAAGGAAAACTGGTGGACTTAAAGTAGTGATGTCAAATTCTCTCTTACTAGTGTGAGGACAGATCAAAGTAAGTGGAACAGAACTGAGAATAGAGCAATGGATCGCATCTGTGCCATCACGGGTTCAGATCTCCACGGGCCTCTTAAGTCACCAGACTGAGATGCGTTCAGCAGTTACTTCTTTGCATACGTTTTCTGTGCCTCCGTCTTCTCTTCTGGCATCAACACGAGAGGGACGTTGTTCCTCTCGGTTATCCCAAAGGGCCTGCGCTCCCTGTCTCCCCCGCGCTGCTGTGTCTGTCCCCTGCACCGTGCTGTCTGGGGCACTGACTCCCTCCGTTTCTTGTGGGTGTCTGCTGTTGAGGGCCTCAGTTGGACTCTGAAATTTGGTTTTGGTACTTCTTAGCTCTGTTACTTCTCATTTTAACTGCCTCAGATTTTCTCACTATTCTGTTCCTCGTTCGTGCCCTTTGATCTTTGGCGCTTACCAGCGCTTCTGCTGGATTGGGGCCCCTCAGGCTCTCTTTGCTTCAGCATTTGTGGTATGTTCTCTCTTCACTCTTAGTCTTACGGGTTGTAATAGGAATAGACTTTCAGGCTGTTGCCTTTGCACCTGGTCAGGTAGCCAGAGAACAGGAACTGGTGAGGGGCATTGTTAGGGCAGCCAGGCCAGTGAGCAACAGTGAGCATCCAGAGTTGGCTTCTGGCCATGCCCAGGGTTCCAGACTTGTGTGGTGGGGAGGTAGGTTAGTGCCGTGGCCTAAGTGTCTCTTGCTGGTGTCCACCTCCAGGCCGTTCCTGAGCACCAGGTACAGCACTGGCCACAGACTGTAGTTGGGGGTCACAGGCCAGGAGCTGTTCTCTTTCAGTGTAGAGCCTTGTGCTGTGGCGTTTCCTCCTATTCCTGTCGGGCTTGCACTAGTTCGTACGAGGATCTGTGTGCTCTCTTGGTTGGGTCCCTCAGTAGGGCTTGGCATGGGCTGTGACTGTCCCAGCCCTGGCTTCAAGTCGTAGCCTCTTCTGTGAGGTTCAGGTGAGCCAGTCTGTTTCTCCCCATTGTTTCAGCTTCACCCCTAGATTGAGCACTTCGTGCTCTGGCTAGTAACCCTCGCCTTGCATCTCCACCCCTGAAGCTCCACAGGAATGCACTTCCGTCCCAGGTACCACCTGTGTGCAGTGCTGGGTCTCCAGAGTCCCAGGTGTAGGTTTGTGCCCGCTCGTGGGTTGTGCAGCCTGCATGTCAGTGTAAGCACGGTTTGCTTAGAGTTTTCCCACCCCTTTGTGGGGGCCATTGCCCCAGTATGCGCTGTGGTCATCCATTTCTCCTTCAGGGAGGTTGGCTTTGCTCTATACTTAGGAGTCTTTGGAGGAGGTGAACTTGGCCTCTTCTGTCCCATTATGTTGCTGGACTCTTATCAGTCACTTGATTTAGAGAAAGGGTCCATTGAGTGCATGTTGCTAGGACAAGTGGGACATTTTTGATTCTTAACTCACACCATACACAAAGCTCAATTCTAGATGAACATATGAAAAGCAAACAAAAAAATGAGGGGAGAAAGGTTTTCAAAGAAAAGCAGGAGATCTTCAAGGAAGACATAGACAGGGACACAAAGAACTCACTATAAAGGGAACATAACAGGTAAATTGGATTAAATGAAGAGTTTGGTTCATCAGATATTACCGTTCAGAAAGTGGAAATGCAGGCCCTCCTTGGTCGTGCAAGGATTAAGTCACAGCACTGTGAAGCTGTCCGCAGCCACTGTAGCACAAGTTCGATCTCAGATCAGGGAGCTGACCCACAGTGTGTTTCAGCAGATCTGCCTGTTCTGCTCCCCGCTCTGTCTCTGATGAATCCTCTTATTCCTCTCCCCCCTGCACCTCTGACCTACACCCCAGTTCTTGTATGCATAAATAAATCAATCTTAAAAAAGAAGGTAAGGCCCTCCCTGGTGGCACAGCTAAAGCCACTTCATCATGAGTTTCGATCCCCGCCCCAGGGGTGTTCCACGTGGCGGCAGACCTCCACCCTCTCCTGACCCGCCTGCTGCTCCCCTCAGCAGTGTACTTCGTCAGTCAGTCGGCCTTTTCTGCTCCCCACTCTGTCTCTGGTGAATCTTCTCACCACCCCTGCACCTCTGGCCTGTACCCCAGCTCTGTATGCATAAATAAATGTCTTTTAAAAAGAAATTTAAAAAAAGGTGAAATTACAACCAGAGAGTGGAAAGGGCTACTGGTGCAGGACTCATTAGAGCAGAGTGTGTCACAGGGCAGACCGCTGCAGTTAGTGGGGGTGAGAGGCAGCCTGGTAGAGAAACGAGCAGAAGACTTGAGCAGATGCTTGAGTGAGTGTGAAATAGAGATTTTCCAGGTGACTAGTAACATGAGCAGTGTCCACGGGCTACAAAATGAAACCAGCTCATTACCCCTGGCCCTGGCCAGATGGCTAAAATGGAAACGGCAAAACGGACCCAAATATTAGCAAGGATGTGGAACAGGGAGACCTGGCCGCTGAGGGTAGAGAAGGACTTAATCTGAGGAGTGCTGTGCCTTCGTGTGATCTTTCTAGAAAACCTTAGTTACTGAGTTTTTGAAGTTAGGCCATAAACCTGTATGAGGACCAGTGTAATTTGTGAGTACAAATCCTCTCTGAGACTTCTCTCTGCATCAACGTTGAGGATTTTTTTCTACTTCATTTCCCTGCCATTCCCAGAGTGAGCAGGGTGGTGGGTGGAGGGAGAGGAGGAGATTGGGATTTCTAGGGCAGGAGACAGGAAACTGACTTGCAGGCCCAGCGGGCACAGTGCCTGTTTTCATAAGGCTCTGTTGGAAGACAGTTCTCATTCATTTGCTTTCGTCAGTGGCTGCCTTTGGCTACAGTGTCAGAGTTGAGTGTAGTTGACCTTTGTGTAAAGTAAACCAGAGAAAAGGGAATATTAAGAAAATCGTAAGGAAAAGAAAATACCGTTATCATAAGTGCTGTGTTCATGGATAAGGCAAGGTCACTGTGTAGAAGAGAACCGCTTGTTCACAGGTCAGCTGTGGTGGCAGCAGAGACCACGTGGCCTGCAGAGCCTAAAATACTGCCTGGCAGTTCACAGCCAAAATGTGCCAGCCCAGAATGTAGATTATCTAGAGAGCTGATTCATGGGAACCCTTTGCTTTAAGAGCCTTTGTTATCCAATGTAGCAGGCAGCAGTGGTCACTGTTTAGATAGATAAAATGAAAGACTTTGGTCACTTACCTGCTACTCAGAGCAGCCACATTTCTAGTGCTCAGTAGCTGCATGTGGCCAGTAGCAACTGCATTGGACAGCACAGGCATGCAGTATGTCTGTTATCTAGAAAATTCTTGCACTGAGCACTAGGTAGGCCTGTTGGCTTCTGTCTTACCGGCATCATTGACAGCCCTGCCGATATTCCTGCTGCTTCTGTCCCAATGGCTCTTCCCTCTTCACTGTCTTTACAGTTCTTTCCATCCTCCAAGACTAAGTTTGAACCACAGTTTATTTCAGGGTTAAATATATTACTTTTTACTATTTCACACATCTTCTTTAGTTCACCAATAAGAATGTCACGTTTTTAAAAGGTATTTAAAGGTGGGAACTATAATCTTGGTTGCTTTTTGTAGTGCTTTGTACATAACTTGTGTCACTGTTTTTAATATATTTTGAATTTTCCTAAATAGTATAAAATTATTTCAGGTTTGTTTCCCTTAGGTGTAACGAACTATAAACTTCAAAAAGAAAGGAAAAAAAAAAAAAAGCAAAAGCAAAGATGGGTGAAAAGAAACCAGAGCCTTTGGACTTCGTGAAAGATTTCCAGGAATACCTGACTCAGCAGACCCATCATGTGAACATGATTTCTGGATCGGTTAGTGGTGACAAAGAAGCAGAGGCCCTTCAGGGAGGTAGACTCATCTTATTGTTAATACTCCACACATGTGTAGAGACAGTGTGTGTAGCTGCCCAAGGATACTAAGCTCTAACGTGAACCATGCTCTTTTTCCCTAGAAAGATGCAGGAAAATTTCCCCCCCACATCTTTAGACATGTCAGATTTTTGTTGAAGCTCCCTGAGGGCTTCACATGGCCTGGAGAATGGATTACGGTCTCGTTGCGGGTTCTGAATACACTCCTGCCCTCTAGGTTCTACTCACGGGTAGTAGGTGCAAGGAAGCCACGGTGGCAGCGGAGGGCGCCTCATCTTTGTCACAGAAAGGACTTAGCCATTAGGACGTCGGGATTAGACAGAGACAGAAACTGGGGTTTCTGTCTTGTCTCTCTTAAAATGAAAAAAAAAAAAAAAACAAAGAACTGATCGCTTTACCCATGAAAGAGGAGAGACCAGAACAGAGAAAGCAGCCATTCACTTGAGCCTGCTACAGGTACACTTTGGTTTCCTCACCACAGACAGATCCTAACGCGGATCAGCACACTGCATTCGCGGCCTCGTGAGACTGCCGACTATTCTGTGTGGCCACAGCAAGGGCGGTTTCACGTTTAAAAACGGTTAGAACAAAAGAATCACCTCGTGACATGAGAACTGTCTGAAATTCAAGCTTCAGTATCCATAAATAGTAGAGTATTGTTGAAATGGCTGTGCCTGCTTGTTTCTGTACGTTCTAGAGCGTACGGAAGCTGTTGTGATAGGGCCCATATGTCCCCAAGCCTATGGTTTTTCACAGCTTGTAGACCTCTGGCCTGGACAGATTATGGCCTAGACCCCAGGGACCAACTGCAGAGACCCAGCATCACCGGGAGCTTGTTACAAGTATAAGCCCCCAGGCCCTGCCCGCACGCACTGAGTCACGATCTGTACTTTGACGGCCCTACAAGTGGCTCATCTACTCAGTTTTCGGCATCATTGGCTTGGGAAGACATTGGGGTGGGGGGCACTGACCCTTGTCCCTCCAGCACAGTGACCCTGTGCTATACGGGACTTGCCTCAGGCAGCAAAGTCACTTCCTCTGGGAAAAAACAGTAGAGCAGGGGCCTGATGCTCAGCCCTTTCCCAGGACTGAGTGCTTTTCCCAAAGTTGTAGGAATAAAAACGTCCCTCTTACTCTGTCTGGGCCAGTTCATACTGTTTGTTGGTTTCCTTACCCCGCAGTCTCTTACCTGTACAGAGTAGTACTTAGTGTAGACTAAAACAAAAAGCAACCACATCTTGTACTTCTGAAATTCTTACAGATCTAACATTCAAAAGTGTCAGATAAAAAAAATTTGCTTTATGACCGGGAGAGGGCGGAATTATAATGAACAACTATATTCCGAGACATTTTATGGGGGTGGGGTGGGGGAGGGGATAAACATGGGAGGGGGAGTGCACGGGGCTATGGTGATGGCGCACGGGTGATCTGGTGATGGGAAGCCCACGGGGATTGCAGCTGAGATGGAAAAAGGCACAAAATGATGTAAAAATAAAAATGTTTTCCCTTTATAAGCTTAATTAGAATTTTAAGATCCAGAATTTAGAACATAGGTATAAACTGAGTGGAACAGTGCAGAACTCAGCACTGATTACTTAGACTAAAATGGGCTACGATTTGAAGAGATTATTATGACTTCCAGTTGTATTTGTAGAAGTTGCTGGAATTTCTGTGCCATCACTGTTTACTCCCCTCTGTCTCCTCTCCTATCGAATAAAAATAATACCCTGTTCTTATCTACGAAGCATAATGAGGATAGATATTTAGTGTAAGTAATTTGAGATCCCTTAGGAGAGTCTTGAAGCCAGAAAAATATTACTGCTTGCCCATCAAATTTAATGTTAAGAAAGTCTATTATTTTATAAATTTAACTTTTGTGCTAAGTGAACTGTACGTTTATGATAGATTTAACACAACTTAACACTAAGATGCTAAGTTGAGCTGATTCTGAGATGCATTATTTTTTTGCTATACTGTGTTTATAGCTGGAACAGATGGTGATCAAAATGGACTTGATCACCCATCTGTTGAAGTTTCCCTGGATGAAAACTCAGGAATGCTGGTAGACGGGTTTGAAAGGACTTTTGACGGGAAGCTCAAGTGCCGGTACTGCAACTATGCCAGCAAGGGGACCGCCCGGCTCATCGAGCACATCAGGATCCACACCGGTAAGGAGAAGAGCCGCGCTCGGGGCAGCCGCCGGGGCGCTGTGCTTGGTCAATAGTTTTAATAGTTTAAAAATGAAGATTTGAATTAGTGGGGCAGCAGTTGTTCCGTTTTATAAGACAAAACAACAGCATAGCCTCGGCAGGCAGGAAGTGCAGCCCTGTG